TGAACCATTTTACCTCTCTACCCTGTTTTATTCACTGTGAGACCTGAAGTAACTTCCTTACTTTCCAGGACTCAAGTGCTGTAGGCTGAGATATTCAGTCACTGTTTCTGTATCCTTTTAGTTCTAATAAATAAATAAAAGCACATTTCTCCCCTGCACTCGTATTTTATTTTCTATAAATTCAAGCCAATATTTTTCCCACTTTTGAGGGGGGGAGCGAAGATGACGAGGTCTAAATGTAACATATGGGCAAGGTTTAGGGTTATGAACTTATCTTGTTTGTGATGCAGAGATGAGGTATCTGTACATATCTGGACCACTAGATTCCCACACTATGTAAGCATGGGAGACCCAAACTACACCAATTAAATTTTAAAAATGTGTCTGTTAAAAGAAATCAAGTTGGGGAGAGGAAGAAAATGGGGTCGCTAGTGGTAGGATTGCAGCTGGGAACACTGCATGCCTGAAACCTGAAGACCCTAAAATTTGTAAATCATGGTATCTAAAAGTTGAAAAAAAATGGAAGTTCTATGATGAACTATTAAAGATAAAAACCAGAGATTCAGAAAGAAAGTTCCCAGAAGAGAGTAACATAGAATGACACACCACAGAGATGTCTCCAGACCCCGTGCTAAGTGGTCTTCACCAGGGCAACTCGGAGGGCGGCCAGATGAGCTTACCTCCCCACCCCCCCTGAAGTTACCAAGGGTAGTACACAATATTTGATGGGGGTTAACTAACATGTTAGTAATCTCTTATAAAAAGGCTTAATGGTTCCAGAATGAAATGTAACAATCTTCACACACTTTCTTCTAAGGAAACATGATTAGATCATTTTTGGTGAATTATTCATAACAAGCAAAACAAAAATTGTTTTGGTTGGGTCCTGGGGGGGGCACAGTTTGGGATTTGGGGTGGAAACATTCGAAATATGGTGGTGGGAAGGTATAAGGGGGATGGGATTGGTGTTCGAATATTAAATGTATTGAATTATTTATTGTGAAAAACTTTATAAAAATAAAATTAAATAAAAAAAGATAAAAACCAATCTTGATTTCCAGTCTTAATGAAAGTAAAGTGCGGGCAGCAGGAACAGAGGGAGGAGTTACTAACAAGCTTTTGCATACTTAAATTTAAGGCTTTGATTAAATTTTGCTGGACTTCACAATCCCATGAGGGATTAAGGCAGCAAAATATTTCTGTTTACTGCTTATAGGTATTAAACAGGTTCCTGAATTTCTAATTCTTCTAACTTCCTGGAGCACTTTTCAAACACTAGAAGCCTTTTGCTTATTGGTGATGTTAAATCAAATTTTCTTACATTCTGACAAGGTAGCTAGAGTTTCTTGGAAATATTCCTAGGCCAGATTCAAAATAATTTGTCCTACTTTCTTTCTTTCTTTTTTTTTTTTGCTTTTTGGGTCACACTGGTGATGCTCAGGGGTTACTCCTGGCTCATGCAGTCAGGAATTACTCCTGGTGGTGCTCAGGGGACATACAGGATGCTGGGAATCGAACTCAGGTCGGCCACGTGCAAGGCAAACGCCCTACCCAGTGTGCTATTGGTCCAGCCCCAATTCTTCCTACTTTCCCCTCTCTGTACTTCTCTTTTTTAGTAAGGTCTTTATCACGAAAGTCTGTTTCTAATATATAAGAAGCCAGCATCATTCAGACCCCTCTGCTGAGTTAGGAGGGTGACTTCTGCTGCAGGTAGTGACCCTTGCTTTACTTGCCATGGGAAACAAGCAGCTTGAGCCAGGTTCACAACATCCTGGCTTTTATGCACATGAAAAAATTAAGTTCAATGGAATGCAATAAATGATATATGCTATGAAACAGAGGACGATCCTCTCTGCATACCTCACTAGCTGATCCTCAGCAATGTCCTCTGTAAGAGCTCCACTCTCAACAGCATCACTTTCCCACCCAGAAGGGAAAGAGTGCACAATTCCAAGTCCTTTACACAGGTCATCAGAGGGCTGTACAGGCTTGTGCATCTCATCAGCACAGGCTGCCTTCCCAAAGCTGATGTCTTGCTATGAGCAGTCTAGAAAAACCCTCTGATTTTGGAAGGGCGTGATGTCTATTTCCAAGTCTGAAATCTTTTTGAGGCAGCAGGAGAAAAAGAAATCTATCCTTAGCTGACTGCGGCTGCCATGGCCAAGTCTCAAGGCACTTTTATTCAGCAGCTGGATCACTAAATAAACTTGGTCTTTGTCTTCTAGGCCTTTGGTGAAAGGCTGGTTAGAGTTCATTCATAGCTGGACAGAAATGATTAGCATTGAATCAGGCTGTATATTTTTATGGGTTCTTGTGTCTCCTTAAGAAGAAGCTAGAGAAAGGGGTATGAAGCATGAGGAATATTTTCTCCAGCAGCCCCTCTTTTTTTGGGGCAAGAATATCTGTAGGGGCTGGACTGAGCTACCAGGATGAGCTCATGTTAACTGCTCCATACAAGGGCAGGAACATAGGGACCCATGAAAGTGGGCGAGATTTCTCGTGTGTCCTGACTGGTTTGGATGAGGCTGAACATCTTTTTCTTTTGGCTGCCTTAGTAAATAATTTCATAAATTTCAGTATATTGAAATTGTCAGTCGTCCTTTTCTCACAGATCTTTGGAGGTTACTTAGCCTGCCTGTCGTCAGTATGCAGATCCTACGTTACTTAGTTTGTTTTTCAGTATGCAGAAAAGCTTTCAGTTTTGCATATTCTTCTTGTAACTCCTTTGTTGATGACCTCACTGTATTGAACTGTAGTATGGTAATAAAAGGAGATTTTGGGGCTCTCTACATTTGTCACAGGTCTGAGAGAACCTGGGCCCTCCATGACAAATTTCTTGTTCCTTGTCTCAGTGCCTCCAACTGAACGAAAATTCATGCAACAAATATCAATTACCTGGTGGCTCTCTGAGCAGGTTAGTTCAGCTCACTGAACAAAACAAGCCTTGCTTGTCTCAATGGGTCATCCCCGTAACTACAATTAGGAGAGATGAGCTACAATTGTTGGTGACTACAATTAGGCGAAGATGAACCTTTTCAGAGCAACTTCATCTGTTTTATTGGGTCTAGAGATTTCTCATGAGGATTTCTGCTATTCTAGATTGCTACTTTGCGGAGGATTATGGTTACCTGGAGGGAAACAGCAACATAGCGTACTCCTATACTGCTGAGCTGGACCTTGGTTAGTCAGTGGTACAAAGGATTGTTTGAGATATATATATATATGTGTGTGTGTGTATACACATATATATATATACACACACTCACATATATATACATATATGTATATTTTATTATTTTTTTAAAAATACATCTTCCTGGGGATGGAGCGACAGCACAGAGGGTAAGGTGTTTGCCTTGCATGCGGCTAACCGGGTTCGATTCCCAGCAACTCATATGGTCCCCCAAGCAGCGTCAGGAATAATTCCTGTGTGTAGAGCCAGGATTACTGTCGGGTGTGACCCCAAAAAAGCAAAAAAAACCAATACCGCCCTCCAAAAAAAAACCCACCAAAAAAACACATCTTCTCCTGTATGCAACTGTAAGCAAAACACCGACATATTAAGCCTTCAGTTTATATAGTCTATTAGTGTTACGGCTGGAGTGATAGCACAGCGGGTAGGGTATTTGCCTTGCATGCCACCAACCCGGGTTCTATTCCTTCCTCCCTCTCAGAGAGACTGGCAAGCTACCAAGAGTATGCCGCCCGCACGGCAGAGCCTGGCAAGCTCCCCATGGCGTATTCGATATGCCAAAAAACAGTAACAAGTCTCACAATGGAGACGTTACTGGTGCCCGCTCGAACAAATCGATGAACAACAGGAGGACAGTGCTGCAGTGCTATTAGTATTACGGTCACTGGCTTTCTTTGATGAGTGCTGTTTATGCCACAGATTTATTTTAACTTTCCTCCACTTCTCCATTATTTGATGATTGATGAGGCCATTTGGGGTCTCTAAGAACAAAGCTCCCATTTATAAGGGCTATCTCAATGAAGAATAAGCGCTAAAAAAACCAGTTTTGAATAAAGCTCACAATCCCCAGAAAATAGCCCCAGTGTGATTCTAATATGAACAGTATTGTGTTACCCAGTGGCCTCCAAACTGGTGTTAACATGATCTGAGCACACAGGGCTGAATCCTGCCATTTGGCCTCCCTGGCAGGGATCTGGACATTCCTCAGTCCTGCCCTGGCTGTAGTGGCCCTTTACTGCTTTTACTGCTGACATTTCTGTTCTCGTACTCTGGTACAGGTGGAACTCACTGACTTTCACTGACTGTCTAAGCAGGGACTTTTGTGGATTTACGATACAGGGCATTTATTACTACAGAATAGGATGGTGGAGTATTAGACATTTAACAGTATATTACACAGTGACTCTCCTCCACTCTTCCCCACACGCAGAGAAACAATCCTTATATGAGAGCACAGGAGGGATAGGTTCAGTTCATACACGGGTTTGGGTTAAAATACCTCAAAGCTGAGAACCTGAAGTCAGTTTCCTCAGTATTTCTGAATTCAGTCATTGTGTCTGATGCCAGTAATTATAGTCGTGACCTTATTTTGCAAGCTAATTCCTAAACCAATTGCTTCATAACTGTTAACAATCACTATTACTACCAGTATCTTCAAAATAGAGTCATTTTAGAAGAAAGAGCACTAAGGCTTTACAGTCTAAGTGAAACTTGAATTGAATCTCAATCCAACCAGGCTATAACTTACCACTTTGGGCAAGTCATTGTACCTCCTTAAACCTCAGTTTCCTCATCTGTAAAATGGGTAGGCAAGCACGCATCTCACAGGACTGTCATGTGACAGCAATGATCTACTTACTGGTGTGTGGCTCAGAGTAGGGCCTTTATTTCAAGCTGCCACGTCATAGCCCTGACATCACCTTCCATACTCGACCATTCAAGTGCCCCTGACACTTTTACCTGGAGGCAGGGTTGACCCCTATAGCTTTGAGGATGGAGTCAGAGAGCTTGCTCTCAACGCCCCTACCTTTCCCGGCGTTTCTGGGAGGCAGAGGTGGCGCCTCGCTCGTTGGTGATGTGGGTGAGTCTGTGCTTGTGGAGGGAAAGATCTGGTTGGTGAAGGCGCCATAGGAGAGCCGCTGCTTGTCCCTCTGGGTGCTGAATCCCGGCAGTGACAGCTTGTCCTGGGGGGAGATGCTGGAGGCGTGGCAGAAGCTCTGAGGTCTGGGGGAGCGCTCTTTTTTGATGGGGCTTGGCTGGCAAAGGAAACAAGAGGGCTGTGAGGGAGACGCTCCACCATGGAGAACGTGCAGGTGTTCTCAGGACCTTTGTAGGGGGGAACTGGGTGGCAACATGGGTTCCCTGGGGCTCTCGAGACTTTAGTTGATGAATCTCGACCACAGCCGGAGAGTCATGACACATGCTAGGAAGGGCCCAGGAATCACTGACTCTCACTGCTTACCACCACCAGGGTCACAGCAGAAACGCCTGGTTAGGCATCAAAAAGAAGAGTCAGGAAGCAGTTTGCACTTAACCTTTAACAAATGCTTCCCCCATGCAGAAACTTCTACCACCATCTGGATGCTTCCGCTTACCATCTACTTGCTCCATTATTTTCTTCCCCTGCTCCAGCCCTTAATAAAATTCTCAGTCCTTCTCTGTCGTCTCACCCGAACATCTCTTTTCATACCTGAGATTCTGACTGCCGCTTCATAACGCATCACAGACCTGCGTATCCAGCCCAAACTTCTGGAATCAAAACCACTTTCAAGAGCTAATGTGGCATCCCAGGCACTTTCATTCTTTACGGCGAGGGTGCTGAAGCCGACCGGAAACCACAGGGCCACCTAGAGCCACTAGGTTCTACTTGGGCACCTCAGAACTATCTGCAGATGTGGTCCCTAAACAGGTACTTAAGCCCAGTTCTCCTGAAGAGCCCAGTTTGACTCCAGTTCCTTCCAGCTATAGGCTGTCCCACACACTGCAGCCAGGGCTGCTGGGAGACCTAGCACTTGGGACAAATAATCTCAATGGGCTTCTGACCACTTGCCTATAGGCCAAAAAAGCCAAACCAGGTCCCCAATACTTTCCTGACTGAGACTGACCCTGCAGGGCAGCCTCTTGCTTTGAGATCAGCCCCCCACACAAGCTCCTCACATGCAGTATTGTTTTTCCTTACATGACAGACTTGTTAGGACCAGATGCCCGTGTACATGTGGTTTGTCCTCCCTGGAAGGATGCCCCCTTCTCACATTACTGGGCATACTCTATCCTGAGAAACCCAACTTCCTTGATTAGGTTTGGGCCACAGGTAATGCAAGTCCCTTAACCCCTGAACTATCTCTCCATGGCCATCTTGGATTGGTGCTTACATACTGCCTGGAGAAAAAGGGTCCTATATAGATGCTTTCAATGGAAACCGGTGCATGATTACCTTTAGTGGTAATCAAGAACCAAGCAGAAGAGTTCAGCAGAACTGGGTTTATTCCTTGAGACTATGGTTTCTAGCTGCAGGACAAGTTGCAAAATCATCATGTGAGGGGGTCAGAGATAGTACAGTGGGGGGGGGGCATTTTCCTTGCAGATGACCAACCCAGGTTCTATCTCCATATGGTCCCTCAAGTCTGCCAGGAGTGATTCTTGAGTGCAGACCCAGGAGTAAGCTCTGAGCACTGCTGGGTATGGTGCCAAACCACTACCAAACAAATAAACAAAATCACCCTATATGAAGTCTTCTCTTCTGTAAACCAAGGTCAATACAAGTCCTAAAGAACATGGTAGAGGTCATCAGAGACTACACAGGTGAAGTGCCTACTGCTGCCAAGTTCTGTATTTTTTTTTGTGTGGTATCACTCCTGGTGGGCTTGGGGAACCATATGAGGTGCCAGGGATCAAACCTGGATTGGCTGTATGCAAGGCAAGTGCCCTACCTTCTGTACCATATCATTCTAACCCTCACCCTCTACTCCACAGTCTCTGTTTTATTCAACAAATGACAACTTTTATATTTTAATTAATTAATTTTTTGCTTTTGGACCACACCTGGCAGTGCTCAGGAATTACTCCTATTGGTCTATGTGGACCATACCAGATGGCAGGGATTGAACCTGGGTTGGTTGCATGCAAGGCAAATATCCTACGTGTTGCATAATCGCTCAGGCCCCAAGTTTTAGATTTTATTTATGTATTTATTTGTTGCTTTTTGGGTCACACCTGGCAATGCACAGGGGTTACTCCTGGCTCCGCACTCAGGAATTACTCCTGGCGGTGCTCAGGGGACCATATGGGATGCTGGGAATCGAACCCGGGTCGGCCGCGTGCAAGGCAAATGCCCTACATGCTGTGCAATCACTCCAGCGCCAAGTTTTATATTTTAAATAGCTGTTTTGATGGATGATTTTATGTGTCAACTTGGCCGGTGAATAGTGCCCAGGCTAGATGCTGCTGTAAACCTTTTTTTCTCATTCTTTGTTTCTGGTCTCTGCAGCAATGTTCTGGAGACATTCCCAGCTCTGTGCTTGAGAGTTGCTGCTGGTGGGTGCTTGGAGGACCATATGTGGCGCGAGGGATGGAATCAGGTATGTGCTCAACCAACTGAGCATCTTTCCAGCCTAAAACTTTTTGGATGTGATCAACACTTTAACTGGGTTCCATAATGTGGTTGAGGCTCATTCAATTAGATGAAAGACTTTAGAGAAAAAGTCAGAGTTCCTCTAGAATGAATTCAGCTTCAAGACAGTATCATTTTTTCTGGTCTCTACAGACTGTTGATCAGCTCTGTTAAAATTTGAGTTTTAGCCAGCACCTATAATCATGGGATCCAATTCTTTAAAATTTTCTCTCTCTGTATACAAACGCACAAACATCACCTCCCTTTATTCCACTGACCCTCAGAGGTCAGAGAGCTAAGACCAACATCAAACTCATAACGAACGGATCATGTCTTTATAACAGGAAGAGCACTGGGAACTGAGGGCACTGTTTACACTTACTTTATCATCCAGATCATCATCACTTTCATCCATCTCATCTTGTCGAAGATTCCACTCATATTCTACATGAACATGTGGATTAAACTTTCCAGATTTAGCCTGGGAAAGCTGAAAGTAACAACAGGTATAGCCATTTAAATTCAAATAAAAAACACCTCACTATCACATAAACATTGAGCAAACTGCACCTTATTCCTGTTACTGTCACTGTCCTCCCGTTGCTCATTGATTTTCTTGAGCGGGCCCAGTAATGTCTCCATTGTGAGACTTTATTTTATATTAATTATGAGTAGCGGCATTGAGGGCAAAACTTTATATAAACTGAAGCACTACAAGATGCTTAAGCAGAATTATAAGAACTTATTGACACAATCTTATGCTGATAATTTGACTTTTCCCCCAAATTAAAAACTCTACAATTATTAAAATGCTCTTCCAAACTGCCAATTCCTGACTGGAAGAGTTTTTTGCAGTAAGGGAGAGACATAGGTCTTTAGGAACAGACAATTCAACTTGTGGTTCCAATTTTCTTTTTTTCTCTTTGGGTTACACCCAGCAATGCACAGGGATTACTCCTGGCTCTGCACTCAGGAATTACTTCTGGCAGTGCTCAGGAAACCATAGGGAATTCTGGGAATTGAAACCGAGTTGGCCGTGTGCAAGGCAAATGCCCTACCTGCTGTGCTATCGCTCCAATCCCCTCCACTTTTCTTTTTCTTAAAATAAGGGTACAAATAACTAAAATTCTCAAAGAATTCTTATAAGAATAAAAATACACCACTGCTGGGCCTGGAACTTGGAACTTGACAGTCAGTGGGGATGTAACTTCTCCCCGCCATCCTTTCCTAGGATTCATGGAATCATGCTGTGTTCTACTAAGGTCCAGAGTTAGGAGCAAGAATTCAAAAAACTTAAGTCTGAAAGCAAGGTCATGTCCAATGAAACAACCTTTAGACTCTGACAACAGAACTGAAGTTACTGAGCAGGACTGGGAGAATGGGATGGATTGGACCAGAAATGAACTCAAGGCAGACACTGAGGGCTTTGGGCACTCTGGAGGAGTGACTCTGTATGCCAAAGGCATAAACACCAATGACTGCAAACATGCCAACTCAGGTAATGAGGAGGAGGAGAGCAAGCAGTAAAGCAATATGCAGTGCGTCTAATGGTCCATAAAGTACAAGATTCCTTTTTTTTCTTTTTGGGTCACACCCAGTGATGCTCAGGGGTTACTCCTGGCTCTACACTCAGGAGTTACTTCTGGTGGTGCTCGAGGGACCATATGGGATGCTGGGGCTTCAACCTAGGTTGGCCACATGCAAGGCAAACACCCTACCTGCTGTGCTATCACTCTGGCTTCAAGATTCTTTAATTGCCCACTTTTTATAAATGGCATTTCAAATAATTCCCTTTGTTTTTTAACTGTTAAGCTACAAAGAAAGCCCAAGTATCTGGCCTATGAAAAATGTGACTTCATTCTTTAGGACAATCTGGCATTTAAAAAATATTATTATTACTTTTTATAATCATAACAACTGATTGATTTTATTTAAAAATTTTTAAAAAATTAAATCACAAGATAAACAGTTACAATACTGTCCATGATCGGTTTTCATTCATACAATGTTCAAACACCTGTCTTTTCACGGAATATACATTTCACACCACCAATGTCCCCAGTTTTCCTCCTTCCACGCTTCTACCCCCCCTCACTTTTCTTCTGTCTGTCTGTCTCTCCTTTTGGTAATTATGGTTGGTGGTATAGGTACTGTAAGATTATCATGCATACCTCTTTATCTGCTCTTAGCACTCAATGTCCTGAGTGATCATTTCAACCTGGCATTTAAATCTCTCTCAAATGTCTTTTAGCTCCTACCTCCTAACTGTATTCAAGTCATGTGCATGACAATTTTATCATTGTCCCATTTTAAATAAGTGCAGCCTGATGGGCTGAGAGAATAAGCGCTTGCTCGGCTGAGGTCAATCCCAGTTCAATCTCCAGCACCACAAATGGTCCCCTGAGCACCACAAGGAGTGACCATTGAGTACAGGATCAGGAGTAAGACTAAGCATGGGCAGGTGTGGCCCAAATAATGCTCTCGCTCCAGAAAAAAAAAATTCAAAAATGTAGTCTTAAAGCTTGTCTATATTTCTCCAATATTTAAAGAAAGGAAAAAGAATCCATTTCTTTGAGCTCTGAGAATGACACGTGAGGCACCACAACACTCAGTAATTAAACTGTGTTTCCCACTTACCAGATCTTCACATTGTGTAGCTTTTAGTCTCTTTGCTATGTCAAGAGCAGTCTCTCCAGCCTGGTTTACTAAACACAAGAAAAGAAATATGCATAATTATCTAGGCTGTCTCTTGAAAGGCCAAGGAAAACAAATTGTAATGTGACATGAAAGTCTCAGTTTTCACTAAATAACCTTAATATGGTTATTAAGAGATTCTTGGCTACACTTACCAATATCCACAGTGGGTTTGCTCCTGAGAAGAAGCTTTAAACATTCTGATTTACCATACATACTACAGTAGTGTAGAACTGTATTTCCCAGGGTGGTCTGCTTATCCAGATTCCCACTGAAAAATCAAAAAGTAATCACAAAAAAACATGCTTCTGTAACTACAAACTACAGTAATTAAATTTATGATAACAATGGAAATAAAAATTTGAGAGTCCCTTATAAAGAGGAATGTTTATGACACCGAGAATGAAGTGCTCACTTTCAAGATTATTTCAAGTCGCTTGAGATAGGATCGGAACCTGGGCAGCCTGACTCTGGAATTCAGGCTTTTTAAACTACTACACTCCACTCTAGCATGCTATTGCTGGCATTGCAATTTCTGTTTCTCACCATTTGGTGGTTTCATTAAGTGAACCCTACTCTCTTTCATTAGACATAAATTAAAAATTTGAAATCATCAATGAATAAATTAATTTTCAACTATGGGTCAGTTTTTTTATAGTTTCCAAAAATAATTAAATAAATCCTTGTATATCTTTGGTAAAAACTGTAACAATGATGGTTCTTATTCCCCTGATCCTGAAAGAGCCCCTAATATGCCATTGGGCTACACTAGCACGTAACAGGGAAGGATGGAGGCATTACTGGTGCCCACTCGAGCAAATCGATGAACAACGGGATGATAGTGATAGTGATATCTTTGGTGGTATTGTGTTCGATGTGACATCAAATGTCCGATGCGAACCACAGGGGTTCCATACTAGCATCAAAGGGATGGTTCAGACATGTATTTTGGGTCTGCCACCATTCTTAATAGATGATTTCAAATGCCCCACTAATTTTTCATTTGTTTTAGGGCCATACCCAGTGATGCTTAGGGCTTACTTCTGGCTTGTGCTCAGGAATCACTCCTGGAAGTGTGCAGGAGTGCCAGGGACTGAACCCAGTCAACTGTGTGCAAGGCAAATTTCTTGCTCGCTGTACTAGCTCTCTGGCTTCTTCCTTTAACTATTTTGCTCACTCACTTCAGAAGCTTCCATTCTTCCCTGTCATCCATATCTTATAGAATTACTCAACAGAAAAGCCAGCAAGCTCAAACATCTTGTATTCAATGTATTTCTCCAAGAAATATGCCTCAATTTTGAATCAGCAACATACAACATTGTCCTATATACAGCTATGGCTTATGGAAACTTCCAGCTCCTGCAGACCTGTACTGAATGTCCTCTCTCTTTCACCTCTCCTTAAGTAGCAGGTTTTGGGCACAAAGAAAGGATTTTTTACATTTAATAAGCCAATTTTTGTAAATAAAAAATTTTAGTGGACTCATTTATATATGATTTCTGCTTTTATACTCTTTTTTACTTTCATACTTTTAAATGTCTTCATTGTGATGTTACTGGTGCCCACTTGAGCAAATCAATGAACAACGGGGGGGACAGTGCATACTTTTTAACAGAGCTGAATAGCTGAGACAGACTTTCATGGTGTACAGAGTTTAAAATAGTTTTTGATTCTTTACAAAGAAGCTTGCCAAATTCCTGACTGAGGCCCCGACAGGAGTAGTTTGTGTGAACTTAAAAGGCATTTTCAGGAACAAATAAAAACCATACCAGTTTTGTATAAGGAAGTCAACTAAATGTAGCGATGTCTGGTCTGCAGTTCGAACTGCAAGGTGAAGAGCTGTCTCCCCTGGCTCCTAAAACAGAAAGGGTATGAATAAATAGGGCAATCATAAGTGCAGGTTAGCCCAGAGCAGTTTCATTTATACCAGTTAACCCAAAGCAGTAAGTAACAGCACCTGTTCCCATCCTGAAATTATCCTGATTTGGACAAAGTCTTCCAACATTTTCATTATTTATTTATTTTGCTTTTTGGGTCATACCTGGCAATACACAGGGGTTACTCCTGGCTCTGCACTCAGGATTACTCCTGGCAGTGCTCGGGGGGACCATATAAGATGCTGGGATTTGAACCCGGGTCGGCCACGTGCAAGGCAAACACCGCACCCACTGTGCTATTGCTCCAGCCCTAAATCTTCCAACATTTGAGAATCCCTTTGGGACACGGGTGAGGACCCAGCAGAAAATGTGCCTGCTCTGCAGGTTTCAGGCCATTTCTATTGCCACCCGCGTGCAAATGAGCACAATTCCTCACAGTTCTGTTCTCCGGGATTCTTAGTGCTGCAACCAAATGAGCCATTTTTGGGACACTGGAATCAGGTATGTGCAATCCCTAGGAAGCACCCTAATTAAAGCAACATCACCTCTGGCAAAGAATTTGGCTAAAGTGTTCCGGGATGGCAACCAGATGTAGGATGCGCATACTCACTGCCCCTGCCCAAGAACACAACCAATCGTGGATGAGAGGACATCTACACAACAGCAGCAGGAAATGGAAAGGAAATGATCCCTTTATGTGATGCTGTAATAGAATGAGCTAACTTTCATTTTATTTATTTATTTAAAAGAGTCAGTATTGGTTCTGTTTTATTTATCTATTTATTTTTGCTTTTTGGGACATACCTGGTGATGTTCAGGGGGTTACTCCTGGCTCTGCACTCAGGAATCACTCCTGGTGATGCTTAGGGGACCATATGGGATGCTGGGGATCGAACCCAGGTGGGCCACATGCAAGGCAAACCCTACACTCGGTATTATCAATCTGGCCCCCGAGCTAACTTTTAAACCAGTTCTTCACATTTCTTTTTAATCCCATGAATTTAGTGAAGGTTTACCTGTCCGGGGTCCAGCAGTGGTTCCATTAGCTCTACTCCTTCTGCATAGACTTGAATTAGTGCAAGTAAATCCCTGGATTTAATGGCCTCGAGCAATTCATTCAGTTTCGCTGATGAAGTTGAACATATCTTTCTAGAAAACCTATGGTCTACATACTTTGCAGTGATATATTCTTTCCGTACAGTCCTAAATTAAAGGACACAAAATGAACAACAAATTATTCTCTAAGTGCTAACAAAGATCTCTATTTTTCTGACAATTCTCTTTGAGAAGAGTCTTATTTTTCTTTCACCCTTGAGCAATAGCATGACAAATCTGCTGTTTACTACTACTTCAAACTCAGATACAATTAAGTACAATTTTTTGGGGGGACTATACCCAGCTCTTCTTCTTTTTTGGGGGGGTTTGCATATCCAGGGCTTATTCATGGTTTTGTAATCCAGGATACCCTGACAGGACACAGGGTATCATTTGGGGAACAAATCCATGTCAACTACATAGAAAGCAAGCACGCTAACCCATTGTACTATTACTCTAGTCTCAAATTTAGAACTTCATTAAAAAAAAATAGAATTCTAGAAGACCAACAGTTTTCAGAACTTGAAACAGATTCTAGTCATCTGATATCACTCCTTCATTGAACCAGGAAACTGAGGCTCAAAAAGGCCTCAGGCCCAGCACTAGGCTCCAGAGGGAAGAAGAAATGGTAGTAGGTAAGCTGAAGTCTGAGTCGGCGTACTGCATTTCTCCTTTTGGGATTCACACCTTTCTCCACTTTAGCTCATGAGGTGTTGGTAGGACTAAGCTCCCTCTCAGATGCAGGAGTGAGTTTTTGTACTGAGTAACCAGACGGTTACTTTTCTCACCTTTGGGGAAAGGCTGAAGGAGAAAATGACTCGAGAAAGGCAACATAGAGAGCTCCATTCCAGATGTTTTCTTTAATCCGAGCCTTATCTGAGAGGGCGCTAACTCATGGGAAGTAACATTTCTTGCTCAGAAATAGCCATTCCATATGTGGTAGCTGCTGCTGTTTTCAATATTCCAGTTAGGCACCCCCATGGTTTAAAACTATGCTGATGCCATTTTGTTTCATTCTGAATTGAATAAAGAGTTTAGCTGCTTGGTAGCTGGCGCTGCCTTCAGAGACTTGCAGATTCTGCTCAGTCACCAAGATCTTAGAAATCATGCGTATTCTTCTTTTTTTTTTTTTTTTCCCTTTTTTGGGTCACACCCGGTGATGCACAGGGATTACGCCTGGCTTTGCACTCAGGAATTTCTCCTGGCGGTGCTCAGGGGACTATATGAGATGCTGGGACTTGAACCTGGGTTGGCCATGTGCAAGGCAAATGCCCTACCTGCTGTGCTATCGTTCTGGCCCCTCATGTGTATTCATGCTTAGGTTAAGACTTTTAGGCCAAAGCCAGGACCTGACAACTTGGAAAACTTTGAGGTATCTGAAGAGAGGCTGAGGCCTGACTTCAGAGTTGTCAGCTGCACATGCCTATGCTAGTGTGAAAGGTGGCTATGGGCAGGGCATCAGATGGAGAAATTAAATGGCTTGATTAGAGTCTGATGCCGCTTGCTATGTGATGCTGGGAAAATCAAGTATTCTTCCCTCAGTTTCTGCACACATAAAATATTAGATCATATCTGCCTTACTACCTTCCAGGGAAGAAAGGGTATTTGGACAGAACAAGAAGTGATACATGGCTACTGGTTCCTTCCTACTGTTATCCAAGAGGCACTAAGTGATCTGGCCCCATTCCAACCTCACTGGCTTCTCCTTTCCCTCCACCGTGCTCAGTTTTCTCCAGTCACATGTGCTTCCTGGTGACATCCACACGGTTCTATCTGGTTGGTGCTCTCCCTTGTCTGTACCTCTCTACCATATCCTTTAGATCTCTATATGAAACTTGGATATTCCCTGACTCTCCTAAATGACCTCTATTGATCAATACCTTGTTCAATTGTATTTTCTTCCTAACACCTGTCATTATGTGAAATTTCATTACTTACTGATCTTCACTGAGGTACCATGATTTATAACACGTTAATGAAGACTGCATGCATAGGTCATTCCAATATCATAGCCTCCACCCATTATTTATTTATTTAAAACTTTTTTATTGAACCACTGTGAGAGTCATTTATTTTTTAATCCTCTGGGCTTTCCCCCTTCCAATCAAAATGTAGGAAGGACAGGCACTGTTCAGGGGACCATGCAATGCTGGGGATTAAATGTGGACACCCCATATGCCAAGCACATGCTCTGTCCTTTGAGTTAACTCTCCAGCTCCATGAACTGTTTTAAGCTACTCATGATTTTTTGGGGAGGGGTGTGGGGAGGGATGGGTTGGGTTACACTGGGTGGTGCTCAGGAACTGCATCTGAAAGATGACTTGCAGTGGTTCTGGGGATGGAATGGGGTTGGCTGCGTGCCTCACCTCTGTTTCCTTAACTCTATTGTCCTTTCAGCCCTAAGCTACTCTGGCTAGCACTTAAAAGAATGCCTAGAAGTTGCTTAATAAAATGAGTGGATAAAATATGTATTACAGGATAAGCACTTCTTTCCTCTGGTGACTGACCGAGTAAGAGAATAGTAATCATTATCATATGATGATAGTTAATAAACACACACACACACACACACACACACACAGAGCTCTGACTCACTAGAAAACCATTTATTATCTGCCTTCCACTCTAGACTCCAGGTGTTATGAAGGGAGTCCTTATCTTGTTCCTGTCTTGCTATTTCCCCAGCTCAATGTGTGGAACACCCAAGCATGCTTGCTGCAATTCAGGTTTGCTGGATTCAAGAAAAAAAAAAAAAAAACTGCCAAGGAGCCTTTCTGGAAATATTATTTCTTGAATTCAGACTAAAAAAAAAAAACGGTTTATTGGATGTGCCCCCTAACAGTTTCAGTGCTGTGTGAATGTGGTGCCTGAACAAGCAGGAAGGAGGGGCTGGCAAAACATTAGGCTGGCATCAACTTCACAATAACTTTCTAATCATTTGTGTTGGAATGAAATCTTTTTCCTCTAATTCATTAACTTCAATGTGAAAACTCTGGAATAAGTTAAAAGGTTCACAGGACCACAAAATTAAAATATCTTTTTAAAAGAGTTGTTAGTGATCTTCCTGTCCCATGTATCTACCATCCTTAGGAGTCAGCCTCATGTTATGTTGTTTTATACTCCACAAATGAAGAAGTGTGATGAAAGTAGATAAAGGGCCAAACATGATAACCTCTCAGTGTCTGTATTGCAAATCATAATGCCCAAAAGTAGAGAGAGAGTATGGGGAATATTGTCTGCCATGGAGGCAGGGGGAGGGTGGGAAAGGGGGGTATACCAGGGATAATGGTGGTGGGAATGTGCACTGGTGGAGGGATGGGTGTTTGATCATTCTGTGATTGTAACCCAAATACGAAAACTTATAACTATCTCATGGTGATTCAATAAAATTAAAAAAAAAAAGTTGTCAGTGAGTCTTACTCCCATGCCCATCACAGAATGAGTATATAGTCTAGTTTTCTGTATATTTCCCAATGCTTCTTTATGCAAATATAAACTCAGAGAAATATATATGTGATATGGCTCATTATCTAAATATCCTGAATGTCTGGGTACAGACAGGATGTAGTCAAGAGTCAAAAATGAGAGAGTCATCAACAAACTGACCCCAAGCCAGTTCCAGAGTCTGCATACTGCATCTAGCGAGCGAGAGTAAGTGCACCAACCCCACTCCCCACACGGTTTCTCTGCCCCAAGTGCAGTGCATTTTGCACAGCACTCCTTACCCTGCTTTTCACTTAATAGTAATACTGGAGATCAGCCTGAATCAGGACATTGTTCTTTTTTCACATTTTCATAGTGTTCTATTGTGTGAATACATCATAAAATATTTAGTCGGATGCCTACAGCTGGACATTGCTTTGTTCCCAACCTTTTTCTATTCCAGAATAAGAATAAATTTGCAAAAAAGAAAAAAAGAAAAAAAAAAGGGACCGCTGAGCCAAGAGGAGAATAAAAGTATGATTGTGATAAAAATAACTAACTTGCTCTTCATGAACCGTGCACCATTTGCACTCCCACTAGCAACGCACGAGAGAGGAGGACTGTTTGCCCACAGTCTTGCAGAGTGGGCTGGAAAGCATCTGGATTTTTGCCAGTCTGATAGGAATCTCCCATTGCTTTTGTATGCTTCCCATTTGTTTCAACATTCAGAGGTAACTGTCCTTCTGAAGATTTATCATTTACAAAGCAGAGGTTCAGCGGTAACTACCGAAAGAGAGGGGGAAATGATCTGTGTATCCTAGAAATACAATTAAAAAATAACTGTCTCCTCATGGTGTTTATTCTAGAAAAGAAATTACTATAACGACTTAAGAGAATTTGGGGGAGGGAAGGATGACAATGAATACCAAAGAATTCGATACATTACAGGTACTTACATATCACTCGAAGGGGTGGGTTTTGGAGAGGGGCTAGGTAAATTTGCTTCCATAATGTCATTAAAACTATTGTTTCCTATGTTCTTGGCCAGCTGTAACATAAACAAAACACAAAATAATAAACTGTTCTAATGTTCTAATGAAGTAATTTTCTATTATTTGCTTTTGAGATTTAAAATAAATTACAAATTTTTCCCTCAAAATTTGACTCAAAATACCAACTGTCCACCTATCATATATAGTAGGCACTCAGTAAACAAATAATTACTGAGTGCCTACTACATATTGGGCACTGAGTTTTAGAGTGCTGGAAATACTTTAAAACCACGTGCCCCGTCTTGTAAGAGCTGATATATAAGCACCTAGGTTTAAGAAAACCAGTAACTAAAATAAATATACAATGTGATAAAGAGAGCAGGATGTGGTCCAGCACACACACACTTTCTGAAAGTAGACAGAACACGTTCCACATATGAGTCGAGGTTAAATGCTTCGTGAAGACAGTAGGTTTTCAACCACAATCATGTTTCATTTTTTATTGAGGAGATTTATGCTCAAGGTATAATATACTCTTATAATTTGGGGTATAAGTTAAGATGCAGCTGGAAATGAATGTAGAGGCCCTAAGAAGAACCCCTTTTGAGTTCAAGATACTCTCAAGATAATTTACCCTGAAGGGCCTTTGGTCAATACAACGTTTGAAAAACATCTATGCACACAAGTATATGAGGACAATTCTTGGGTTTATTCACAGGGCATGCTTAGCTGTCAAACCGGGTATCACTAATGCATATCAAGGAGGTGGAAGGTCATTTTCATACCAAAGAAGGTTTCTGAGTCTATTATCTGTAATCCTGAAATGAATTAGAGAACCAAGTATCGGGATGGTAACATTGTGTTCCCTCCATCAAGGGGCTGACCCAACAAAACAAATCATCACTATTTATTTATTTATTTTGGTTTTCGGGTCACTCCGCGATGCTCAGGGGATAATATGGGATGCCGGGGCTGGAGCGATAGCACAGCAGTAGGGCATTTGCCTTGCACGCAGCCAATATGGCCGACCCGAGTTTGAGTCCTCCACCCCTCTCGGAGAGCCCGGCAAGCTACCGAGAGTATCTCGCCCCCACGGCAGAGCCTGGCAAGCTACCCGTGACGTACTTGATATGCCAAACACAGTAACAACAAGTCTCATGATGGAGACGTTACTGGGCCTGCTCGAGCAAATCGATGAACAATGGGAGGACTGTGGACTGTGAACCAGACCATGGGCTGTGTGCAAAGCAAATACTTTATCAATTGTACTTTCGCTTTGGCCCCAAACCATCACTATTTAATGAATGCTCAGATGACAAAGGGTGTGGGCTAGGTGACGGATTGCTCTGACTTTTGGGGAGTTTTGCCCCAGACAAGGCTAGCCCTAAATCAAGATTCTCAGGTTCATTCAGATTCTGTATTAAGGGGATTCTTTTGGAAGAATCCATAATTACTCTGTGGGATACTAAGTAGGTCTTTTATCCCTTTGTTATACTATATGGATGATTTACCTTCAATTTGATTAAAAAGCTCCAAGTTTGGGTGACTCATGACGGGAAGAGCAAGGGTTAGGCAGAAAACACAAGTCAAGTCTTCTTAAACCTTTTTTTCTATACTGCAAAGTCAAATACTATGACTTCAGTTATTTTTACTTACAACCTGAAAAAGTTGTGGGTTATGGAGTATTACAATAGTAGCTAACAGGTCACTCTTAACTCATGTGTCCTTTTATGAGCATCAAATAATACAAATAAAAAAAGAGAAAAATTTAATTATTTTTAATAACAAGCCATTAAGCTAAATAAGTGATTCAATACCTAATTCCTTCTATGTTATATACTGAAAAGAAATGAATCCCTAAAGTAACTTCAAATAAGAAAAGAAACAGTTTAGTTGAACTAATAATAGGGATGTATGATTCATTTGTTCTTCAAACAGGAAACAGATATAATCAACATTATATACCACAAAAGTCCTATTTTAAATATCTATGCAAATTCACTAAATTTGGGGATTAGAATTCTCTGCACTCAGCAGAAACAAAAAAATCCTAAAACAATTTAACATATTCATAATAATAAACAGTGTCCCCCCTCACCCAAAAATACAGATCATGTCTTACCAAGAGTTCAGAAGTTCCTAATTTGTCTAGTTCCAAAGACTGAATCCGAGAAATATGAACCCCCATTTCCCTATGGATGCCGGAACATTCTATGCAGGTCAAAATACCCAAGTTGGTCGAAAGCCAGGTGGGTTCTGTGAAAAAAATGTGAAGACAATGAAACAAATTGATATCTAACTTTAGTATGCTAACTATAGAGGAAGTTAAAACAATGACAAAAATTGTTAAAAAAAATTACAAGGGAAAAAAATGGAAGAAATGGTGCTTGTGGTTAAACCTAGAGGCTATGATGAAAAAAGCTAGTAAGAGAGTAAAAAGAATGGCAAGAGAAATTATTTAAAAAATTTGGGGGGGTTGGAGAAATAGTATAGTGGGTAAGGCCTTGTGTGCAGTTGGCTTGGGTTCATACCTCAGCATTTTTCCTATATGGTTCTCCAAGTCCCACCAGGAGACACCCCTGAGCTTAGAGCCAGGAATAAGTCCTGAGCACCACTAGGTGTGTCCCTTCAACACCCTCCCACGCCCCCCCCCCCCCAAACAACAACACACTTTTCATTACTGAAAGCAAAATTAACTGACTTATTTCTATGAAACAAGAGATTGGCTTTTCCTACTAAGTATTAAGCAACATTTTTAGGGCTTGCCTGTATTATTCCCGACAGTGACTGAATGAAGGTCTGACTATAATTCACAAGGGACTAGGTTCTGTAGCTACCAAAAACTTAACCATAAACCTACCATAAACTTATAACTCACAGTAATACATGATCTTGGTTATGGCTTCTCCATAAGCACTTGGTTAATAAGAACTACACACAGATACCAAACTGTACCTTCAGAGTAAGGTTTTTCTATAATTCCCTAAAGCCTCCAAAAGAGTTTTATATTATCAAAACCCTCAAAGTTTTCTCTCTGGGAACAAGATTCTTTATTGACTGAAGATACAAAGTACATGTTCTGACATGTTCTCACACTCTGTGAATCCCTATCATGTACACAAAAACAGTAGAAACCGTGAACTGACTCTGACGACATAAATCTATCTGTACAGGGAAGTCCATCTTCACAAGTAACCAAAAACCAAAACATATCAGAATACTTAAGAACACATTCTAAGTCATGTTTTAGTGCTTTCAGTTATGTGAATCATTCAACCTGAGTCTCCCAGTTTTCTCCTCTGTGAAATGGGGATAACATAAGTATCTTCTCACAGAGCTTCAATGAGAATTCAAGAGGATAATATAAGCTAAAAGGTGAGCATCAGGGGCTGGAGCGATAGCACAGCAGGTAGGGTGTTTGCCTTGCACGCGGACGATCCGGGTTTGATTCCCAGTATCCCATATAGTCCTCCGAGCACCGCCAGGAATAAATCCTGAGTGCAAAGCCAGGAGTAACCCCTGTGCATCACCGGGTGTGACCCAAAAAGCTAAAAAAAAAAAAAGGTGAGCATGATACTTATTAAAGACTAAGTGCAGAATAGATGTTAGCTAGCTTACCACCAGTATCTAGATAATAGAGGTAACAGGGAAACAGAAGTTTGAGGGAAGGTGACACCAGAAAGATAAAGAGGTGGGGGAAGAAGTTTCACTGAACAGAAATTAAGTTAAGTGATTTCCACGAGTCAGTCAACTTCGTGTACACTATTTTATTAAGCCCTCACAACAACATATCCTAGCTCTCCATTTTGGGATAAGAAAATTGCAAATCAGGACAAGCGAGAGACTCAGCTATGGTTATCCACACCGATGAGTCAAAACCAGATACCATACTGTCCAGCGCTTGTGCCACAATGCCCATGTTTATTTTATTTTTAATTTTTTGGCCTTTGGGGTCATACCTGGCAATGCTCAGGGTTTGCTCCTGGCTCTGCACTCAAGAATTATGCCTGGAGGAGCTCAGGGGACTAGGTGGGATGCTGGGGATCGAACCCAGGTGGGCTGCATACTTGGCAAACACCCTACTATCTTCCTGGACCCCCATAGTGTTTATTTAATTGGATTTTTTAGGAAAGGCAGAGAAGGGGTAGCATTTTGGCAGATGATCATTAGAAGAGGTAGTGTGAACTTTGAAGGCAGAGCAAACAGCATGGGGGGGGGGGAAGCAGCTCAGAGTTGGGTTAGAATCAGCTGATTTTATGATGGGAAGAAAAATTATATGTAACAGGCCAGGTCAAAGAAGGGGAGATGTACCTGATGAGCCACAATCGCAGCAGACTTCATTACCAGGCAGCCGCTGGATGTCCTCAATGATGGCTTTTGTCAGATCTTCCAAGCTGTTCTCTCCAGTACTCTGCTCTCCACGAAAGGCCATGGTTAACGCCTCTTCTTTGCTATTTGTCAACACTGATATCCACCTGGTGTTGAAAACAGGATCAGTAAGAACATAGAAGAGTAAGAACATAGTCCTCTTCTCCCATTACTATTTCATGAAGAACTGGCAGATTTCCTCCTACCCGCAAAGAGCAATAAAATAAGGAGAAAATAAAATGAAAGAAAAAGCCATAAGGAAAGAGAGTAAGTGAAATGATGGCCACACAGGAAAAAAAATTTGAGAAAGGTGAGAAAAGTAAAAATAAGCGTCCTGACTTAAATTAGGTAAACTGGTACTTAGATTAGGTGAACTGACAAGGCATTTGCTTTCCATTCGAAAAGAACAAAGGAAAGTCCAAAGAAGGATCACCCAACATAAGGAAAAACTGGGGAGAAAGACAGGAGGTAAGAAAAACAGAAAGTGCATCTTGTACAGCATCTGCAAGACATGTATAAGATGTACACAGCATCTTGTTCTCTAGAAGTTCAATCAAAGGGATACTTAAAAGAAGGAACAAACAAACAAACAAACACTGTCCTCCTGTTGTTCATCTATTTGCTCCAGCAGGCCCAGTACCATCTCTATTTTGAGACTTGTTACTGTGTTTGACATATCGACTGTGTCACGGGTAGCTTGCCAGGCTTTGCCGTGAAGGCGAGATACTCTCGGTAGCTTGCCAGGCTTTGCCGTGAAGGCGAGATACTCTCGGTAGCTTGCCAGGCTCTCCGAGAGGGGCAGAGGAATTGAACCCGGCTCAACCAGGCTGGCTGTGCGCAAGGCAAATGCCCTACCATTGTGCTATGGGGAAATGAGATTTATTTTATTAACAACCAAGAAAAGGTGTATTAGCATGGAAGCATGCTGGTAATAATAATTTCATAATAATTTTAAGAGATTCTGACTTTATAGGGCTAAAAGAAAAAAAATCACATCAGTACTACAAGTTTTATACATTTTATCCTGAGTCTCAAAATCAAAAGTAAGTGAGACCTGTAATGCTATAATACACTGCTCTTAGAGACATTAAGAATGAGATGGGATAATTTGCCCAAGGTCAAGAAAGTCAGCTGTGGACAAAGCCTAGATCAGGAATATTAGAAACCCTGGCCAGCTAGATGTGAAACATAAGCCATTTCTTCTACAACTCATGCTTCCTTGGTGAAGAAGGAATTTTTTTTTTCTTTTCTCTTTTTTGAGTCATACCCGATGTGATACTCAGGGGTTACTCCTGGCTCTGTACTCAAGAATTACTCCTGTTGGTGCTCAGGGGACCACATGGGATGCTGGGGATTGAACCGGGTCAGCCGTGTACAAGGCAAACACCCTACCCACTATACTATCACTCCAGTCCCAGGAATCTTTTCATTTAATTTCACCAGAAAAGAACTTCATGAAGCAATGAAACTGTGTCTGTGACATGGAGGTAAATGATGAAGGCCTCCTGCCAGCATACATGCTCTCTCAGAATGCCATGACCACTAGCACTCAAAACAAGCCTTGGGCACCTCCCAGCACCCAAAGAGAATTCCAAGAGTAAAATGTACAACTGTAGGGTCACACAGTCCTGCTAATGACAAGCAGGAAGCCAACAATCTCTCTAACCAGTGTGGGACTGAATTGCCAGTAATTTATAAGAGCAAATGAAGCATTAAAGGCCTAGGGTTGAAATATAACTGAGCAAGGGAATCAACATTATACAGACTTCTCAACTGTCTCCTCCTTAGGACTTCGAGGAAGGGAGAGAGAAGAAACATGAACAGAAATCACTGCTCCAAGGTCTTCTTACTTTCTGGTTTTGGAGCCATATCTGGTGTTGTTCAGGGCTTACACCTGAGTCTATACTCAGGGATCACTTCTGGTGGGGCGCTGGGGGCCACATGGGGTGCTGGGAATCAGACTTGGCTTGGATGTGTGCAAGGCAAGCCCCTTGCTGCTGTATTATCTCTCCAGCACTCCAAAGTCATTTTGGAACCAAGAGGAGATCCTTAATGGGTCATGAGTGTCCTTGAAGAGTGACTGCACTCCACCTGGGGCCTTTTTCTAGCAGGACGCAGCAAGGTAATCACAACTTGAAAAGATGACCTGCCTGAAGCACCTTTGGAAAGGGCCCTTATGGCTCCTTGGAGTTTTCAGTTCTCTCACCTCTAAATTATCATCCTTCAGGAACTCTCAGACATACAGCTGAAGAGTTACATTACTGAGCGATGAACTCGAGACAGCACTAGAGCCAGATTCTCTATCACACACCTGCTACTTTGCTTTGAGGTGTGAAGCGAATCATTTAACCCTTATGAGCTTACTAAATCATTGGCATAATGGGTACAACTATGCCATTTTCTATAGGTGAGCACCACCCATAGGTGCTCAAACCAAGACCACTCAGGCAGCCATGTACAGTAGATGTCTTTCTGCAACTTGACCCCAGACCTCCAGCACATCAGGATTGTAACCATGAGCATGTTGTGCCTCAGTTTCCTCAATTCAAACGAGGGTACACGGGGCCCTACTTTCTAGGGTTGTGGGAATTAATAAGGCATGCTATGCACTCAGCATAGTACGCTCTTTATGTACATATACATAGGTACATATACGCATGTATTTATTTATACTTTAAAGTCTCTCTCTGAATCTGTGGGCAGAAGACCAACTATCCCAATCTCTCTTGCTCTCCTCTGGTTTCCATTCAACTTCCAGTTAGGCAGTTCTGTACCTAGGTCATCTGGTCATTTCTTTTTTTTAGAAAAAAATTTATTATTGAAACACCATGAGGTACAGTTGTAGACTTACAAAGTTTTGTGCTTGAGTTTCAATTATACAATGATTGAGTACCCATCTCTCCACCAGTGTCCACCCTCCACCACCACCACTGATCCCAGTATCCCTCCCCCACCCCCGGCTCTGTGGCGGAGCATTCCCTTTTGTCCTTTTTCTCCTTTGGGTGCTATGGTTTGCAAAACAGGCACTGAGTGGCAATCATGTTCAGTCTATAGTCTACTTTCAGCATGCATCTCCCATCCTGGGAGAATCCTCCCACATCCTTTAAATCTGGTCATTTCTAGATTGTTCTATTGCTCCCACCTGAGTGGCAAAGTATACTTCTTGACTTTCCTGTACTTTCCCGTAAGAGCGAGGCTGGCTGCTGACCACAGCTCTGGATGTTATCTCTGTCAGAAGCACCAAGAACCCAAGATAGCATCCTTTCTTGCTGAGGGTCCCACTGCACCTGTCCTGCCTGTCTCTGTGCTCTGCCACTTGCCCATCTCCAGAGACAGAGTTCCTCAGGACGGGACCCCATCCAAAGGGACACATGTCCCACATGCTTTGCATAGTTCTCAGCACACAGCAGGCTGCCATTAATATTCACAGACATGAACAGATGATGGATCACACTCGTCCCCCATTTATCCTGGGCCTCCCAGTCCCCTCCTCCATTACCCTGCCATTTGCTTCCATGTACCCCGCTCCCAAATTCTTCATCTCTCCTACCTAGTTCTTATTCTCTTTCTGCTTAACATTTCTCCACTAAGACAGGAAAGAGCAAAATTCCACAGAGAGGAAAGAAAGAAAAAGGGAAAGGGAGATAGAAATGGGGTATTAGAAAAAAAAAGGCATGAATTGAGGTCTGTGGATCTATGGAAACAATAATAGGAAAATAACATTAGTCACAGGCCAGGGACAAGACGGAACTTAAAAAATATCTCAGCATGACAGAAGGTTTAATCACTAACTCTCCTTTTTTAATGGCAGCCACATTCAGGGGTGCTGGGTGGGGGATAAACTGAGGCCACCTATGGTAAGGCTCAACCCAGTGTGGGCCTGGCAGCTTGGAGGTGCCTGGGGTTAAGTGCCCAGTGTAGACAGGAAGGCCATATGCTGCAAGAACTGAACTTGGGGGCCTCACACGTGCTAGGCGCCAGTTAGAATTGAACCACCGCCTGGCCCAACTTGCTAGTGGTGACAGAAATGTTTCCTGCCCAGGGAAGCTGAGAATGAAACAGTCACAAATCACTTTGTTTAGTCCTGGCATAAACTCATGTGAGGAGGATTAGAAGAAGGAATTAGAGAGAACCATGAGGGAAGGGGGTCAGTTAGTCAGAGGAGTATCAGATCCCAACCCAGGAGAGTGAGACCCGGGGGTCTCCCTAACTGCGTCCTCGTAGCCTTAGCCACGTCTACCCTTGCGGTGGACTCTGCGAATACTGTTCCTGTGGCTTGGGCTCTCAGTTCTGTTCTTTTTTTTTTTTTTTTGGCTTTTTGGGTCACACCCGGCAATGCACAAGGGTTACTCCTGGCTCTGCACTCAGGAATTACTCCTGGCGGTACTCGGGGAACCATATGGGATGCTGGGAATCAAACCTGGTTGGCCGCGTGCAAGGTAAACGCTCTACCTGCTGTGCTATCGCTCCAGCCCCTCTCAGTTCTGTTCTGATAACAGCCAAGTCCCAGGGGCTCAGAGACCTAGGTAGGCCTTCCTCAGGGCACAGGATGTGACCGAGAGATAAAAACGAAAGAGTCCTGTCCTCTAGAAACCTGAGTTCTCTAGAGGTCCTGGACTGAATTAGGGGACAGCAGAGGGGAATGAAGGGAGGGAAGTCCCCCCACACCCAACCCGATCTCTGCCCAGTGCTAAGGCCTGAGCAGGAAGAAATACTGGAGTTTGTAGAGTGCACAGAGAGGAGCAGTAGGTGAAGGTACAGATGTAAGAAACAAGCAGAACCACCAGGAGTCTCAGCAGTTAAAAAAAATGTTACGGCACTGTGTAGAAGACTAGGCGCTTTTCCAATTCCAGATATTGTGCCATGATTTCAACGTTACTTACGCTACATAATCCTGCTCATCTTCTGCCTGAAAATGATACGTCCTATTATCTAAAATACAAAGAAAGAAGAAAAAAAAGAAACTTTAGAAAATGGAATTACTTCTAAGTACAATGAAGATTTTTTTCAAAGTTCCTAGAAAATGAAAAAAAAAACATATTAAAGATCGAACTTCCTGTTTATATTTTTTATGTTTGGCAGTTACAATTCATTTTGGTAATAATATTTTCCCCAAGTACAATAATAATGATAATGCAATAAAATAACTGCAAACACTATACAACTATCTTAATTAAAAAAATATCTACCTAAAAAGTATAAGTGACAAGAGTGTAGGTTCTATCTGGTCCAAGTCGCTTTCAGTGAAAAAAAATATAAGTGACAAGAGTGTAGGTTCTATCTGGTCCAAGTAGCTTTCAGTGATAGCTGCCAATGCAGTATTTGACTTTTTGTTTACCCCTTGTATTTTGCTGTGTGTCATATTAAAAAAGAACTGCCTTTGGATTGAAGTGATAGTACAGTGGGGAGGGCAACTGCCATGCATGTAGCCCACTTGGTTAAATTCCTGGCACTCCGTATGGTTGCTGAGCCCCACCAGAAATGATCCCCGAGTGTAGAGCCAGGAGTAAGCCCTGAGCACTGCTGGGTGTGGCAAAGAAAAAAAAAAGAAAAGCAATTTCCTTTTTGGAAATGATTCATAGCTCACAGAGAGCACCGACAAGGAGAAATTCTCTCCCTAGGAAACATGTAAACAGCTTACAGGTTCAGTCAGGCTTGGGGGAAAAGGGCTCATTCACCTTCAAGCTGCTTCCTGGTGTGTGTGTGTGTGTGTGTGTGTGTGTGTGTGTGTGTGACAGCTTGACTAACAAGGTTTGGACAGGTACATATCAGGATACTTTCTGAAGGGTTCCTGAGCAAATGTGACCACCTCAAGCTAGGCACTCACACCCTTCGTTTCCCTGAAACAGTGACTGTGTGAACATCGAATTTGAACACTCAGTGGGGCAGGAAAGCCCAAGAGGCTCAGTTCCAGCCCTGCCTTATTGTTATCATCTAGTAAATGCCGTGGGCCTGTTCTGAGACTCAGTTCTCTTCTGGGAAAGAGGCAACTGACAGGGTTTTTGTGAGGATTATTAATAATGTATTTCAGGGACTGGAGTGATAGTATAGTGAATAGTATATTTGCCTTTCATGTGGCCGACCCAGATCCAATCCCTGAAACCCCATATATTCCCCAGAGCCTGTCAGGAGAGATCCGTGAGCACAGATTCAGGTTACATAAGCCCTGAGCATCGCTGCTGGGTATGGCCCCAAACCAAATCAAACCAACAACCCCCCACTGAAACAACAATTCATTTAAAGCACCTGACACACAGCAGATGACCAATAACTGAAGCTTATTAATAACACCCTACAGGGGCTCAAATAAAGGCATTCTTGGCTTTCTGAAGTCATCTTCTAATTTTAGTGTCTCACATTTCTTTCTCATAGGTTATAGGGGAACTGGACTTAGTATGGATTATCTGGAAACACACACACACACACGCACACACAAACACACATGAAGTACAGATCATACACTTAGGCTGCTGCTCTGCCCGTGAGATTGTGAGGAAAAGAAATAGCATTGTAGGCTAAGTGTGGTAGGATTTAAAGATGATTCTGAGAATCACTTTATTGGCATGATGTTGACCAAAGTCTCCTCTCAACTACCGAGAGAAGAAAGTCCACCCAGAGTGCAAGCACCAAGAACTGAGCAAGCTTTGAAAGAAAGTGTGGCCCCCACTGGCTGAGGCTCTGGGAGTGCAGCGCCCGAGCTGGGGGCCACATGAGAGAAACTCAGTCTCAACCCTGGACTTGAGCCCCGTCATGGATGGAGTGTCTCACATTCTCACATGCAGAAAACGTCAAGGCAGTTATGCTCAGAAGCAAGGAAATACATACTCCCCCCCCTTTAGAAAGTGTGATTTGGGGCTGGAGAGACCGTATAGGGGTTAAGGTCCTTGCTTGCATGCATCTGACAATCCTAGACCAATCCTCCTCCTACATGATCCCCCCAAACCCCACTGTGGGTAAGACCCCTGTGCATAGAAATGGGGACAATCCCTGCACAACTCCATGTATAGCTTCCCTTTTTCTTACTTTTCTCCCAAATGTCTAATTTTGCAGGAATAAAATTCTGGGCAAACTATACTGATACACAACAAGTTCTTGAATAAGGCTGATGAGGAAATAAGTGACATTGAACAACATCATGTTAGAATTTATCTGCTTTCATCATCATCATCATCATCATCATTATTATTATTATTATTTTACTTTAAGTCCATCTGGAAGATGGCTGATAACCTTAAATGAGGGCCTACTGCAGGGCACAATCAATAACAATACTTAGTAACTACAGGTATGCAGCTGAGCCGCCTGCTAGCATCCAACAAAACATCAATGTCTGGGTCTCCCTAAGTTCACATAAACAGGAACTTTCTTTGATCATTGATCCCAGAAGATAAAGCTATGTAACTCACAGTCAAGAACTGGTTCAGTCTTACTCGAGAGCAGACAGGCAAGAAAACCCAGGTATGTGAGAACCCGTGACTGAGATCTCTAAGCCCACTCACATTGGGACTGGGCCTGCTCCTCCCAGGTCCCCAGTTTCCCAGCAGCTTGAAAGTCACATCCACAAACTGCCCCGGGCGCCCTGTAATCTCATCAATGGCCAAGACCCAGAGAGTATAAACTAAAGCTCCCAGAAGAGAGTGCTGCAGAATTTCCTGGAACATGCGGCCACATTCGTGGCTGCGTGACCTCTTACCCTCTACTTCACTTACTTATCAAAAGCATCACACATTTGTTTGGTTTCTAACATACTTGCTTGTATTCTCTTATATTCGGGCTTAAATTGCTCCAGAATGAAATACAACAACCTTCACATACTTACCTTTTATTGTGGCAGGAAGGTTCTCAGTGGTGGGATTGGTGTTTGAATATTATGTGTAATGAACTATTGTGAACTACTTTTATAAAGATAAATATATATATATACACATATGTATGTATATATATATATATACTGGGTCAGTTTAAATGACAAATGCATTTAAAAACCAGTCAAACCCAGTTCCCAGTTCCGTTCTACTGAGGGTCAGATCTGTCACTGTCATATCTTCCCACTTGCCCGAGATTCTAGAGTAAGCGCACAGAGCAGAGAGTTTTTTCCTACAGTCAGTCCCTGTGCAGGGACAGCCGGGAGTCCAGACTGGGAAAGACGCCACTTCAGGGGCTGATGAAGGAAAATGGGAAGGAGCCACATTTCCTACCCACTGACTTGGCAAGAAAAGAGACTCACGTGATATCAGGTCAAAAGATTTCTTGTCCTCTGCATTCGGCTTCACCTGGCAGGTGAGAAGGTTCAATTTCGCTGGCTGCCTGTTAGACTGCAGAGAGAAAGTGGAGAGGTTATGAGCGGGATGGGGCCCTTCACCTGCAGGTCTGCTGCCTCATGGGGTAGGCATGTGGTACAAGGCCTGCTATCAAGTGACTGTTATCATGGTATAAGAACAAGCCTTCAGTAATGAAGAAATTAAGACTGGTGGGCACTGTTTCAAGTGTACCAAGAAAAGAAACGAATCTATAAAGCTTTGTCTTTATGGGAGAAACTGTCCGTCATGGAGGCAGGGGGAGGGTTGGAAAGGGGGTATAACTGGGAACATTGTGCTGGAGAACGTGTACTGGTGGAGGGATGGGTGTTTGATGATTGTATGATTGAAATTTAAACATGAAAGCTTGTAACTGTATCTCAAGGTGATTCAATAATAAATAAAAGTTAAAAAAAAAGCTTTGTCCTCAAATGTAAACTAGTGACATTTGGGAAAGTCTTATCCACACCATTCGAATTCTGAGTGTCATTAAATAATGAAAATTCCAGAGGGACCTGGAGAGTATTATGTGGAGTGATATTAGTCAGTGGGGAGAGACAGACACTGAATGATCTCTCTCATATGTGGGATACAAAGGAACATAATGGTGGAATAATGAATGTTCAGAGATACTGGAAACAAGGAATATGAGTCTGTTCTTCAGTACGAAACATGCCACTCAAGGGGGCTGTGGGGTAGAAAAGAGAGGGGGGCAATGTCTATGGTGGACGGAAGTGTTTAACTGGGAGGAGAAGGTGGTGTTGAAAGGTGGGAGATATGTGTCAGATATGCAACATATCTCTCAGCATTAGTAGTGCTGAATTACAGTACTTTATATATACATATATGTAGTGCTTCTCGTAGAAGTAAAAGCAGACTGGTGGGTGGGAGGCATATGGGGGTGGAAGGGAGTGGATATAGTTAAAGGGACCGGTGTTGAGACATTGTATGCCTGAAACCCCAATCCTGAATAACGGTAATTTCATGATGACTAAATTTAAAAAAAAAAAAAAAGAAGAAGAACAAGACTCTTAGGTATCCAGCTAATTGTTTTTAAAATGGTGCCATAATATCCTGAGGGTTAAATGGAAAAGTTTTGCTTTTCTGGCCTCCTCAAGCAGTGTCCAGGGGCTACTGCCAGCTTGTGCTTAGGCGTCAGTTATGGTAATGCTTGGGGTTCTCAGCCCACTGGTCATTTTGGTCTGATTAATCTGAAAAGAACTAACAAAAACCTTTTCATTTAACATTCCAGGGAAATAAATATTTCTGGAACTTTTATATATTCAAACGTAAATGGCTGAGCACTTTGATTACCGTATTTTGCTGTAAAATGTGGTACACACACATCCCTCCCTCATTTCCTCCAAAAAGGCTCCCAGTCAGGCAGCTATCTGTGAGGCTGGTGCATGATACCCCAGTGTGATGCCCAGTACCATGAGCCAGCCCCTCATCTCCTCAGCACTGCCAGATGTGGCCCAACTGAGTCCTCCAAGAACCAGCAGAATAGACTGGTGGCTCCTAGCACTGTCAGATTCAAGCAGTACCAGTACCACACCCACAGGCCTGGGTGCTAAACTGTCAGGCCTGCAGCAGGAGCTAAGTGCACCTGGCAAGTGGTCCCTCAACCCCTCAGTACTTCTGGAGAGATCCTCCCAAACAAACAAGTAAGTGGAACCAGTCATTAGCCTAAAGCTAAAAGTCTTGAGTATCCAAATTTTGTCCGCAAAGTCAAATTTACAAGATTTCTATCGAAAGTCCAAGGACAATTACCACCCGTGAGATTTTGACGCACCCTACGTTAAGAGAGAGGAAAAAAATATAAGGACCACATATCACTTGGCAGCAAATCTCTTGAACATAGATAAAAACAGAGAGATCCTTTTTTGATTCATAAGCAGGATGATTCATGTGTTTGTGTGATATGTGTTGCCTCTAAATCTTGTTATGCATTTGGCATAATACCCATCGGACATGGAAAACAAACATAGAGACCCCGCTGTACCTATATGATGGTGTTAACTTAGTCTGTCTAAATATAAAATCGTTACATTACAGTTCTGGTCCTTTCTTGCCTTTCTGCCTGCTCTAGTCCAAGGTAAAGGCTGAGGCTGGGATGCTCATCACCTGCGTGGGCTGATCCAGGAGTGAAATATCTCAGTATTGAGAACACGCTATGTGTGGTGGTCAGAAGCCGGATGGAGTAAGCAATGAAATACTAGCCTGATCTCTGCTAGCCTTCCCTGACAGGTAGCAATGATTAAAAATCCTCATGCCAGAGCATTTCTACTCAATGAATTTGTGTTCTTGTAAAAAAAAAAAAGGATTGGAGAGGTCATATCAGTGACCAATTAAAGTCCTAAATAATAGACCACAACAATTTCAGACATCTGCACCTCTCATTCTCAATATTGAGACTAGACAAATTTTGTTTACCAGCCTAGGCTCCCAAGACACTTTGAAGATCTTACTCCTTTCACGGGCTGGAGTGATAGCAGAGCTGGAGCGATAGCACAGCGGTAGGGCGTTTGCCTTGCACGCAGCCAGCCTGGCTGAGCCAGGTTTGATTCCTCCGCCCCTCTTGGAGAGCCCAGCAAGTTACCGACAGTATCTCGCCCGCACGGCAAAGCCTGGCAAGCTACCCGTGACGTATTCAATATGTCAAACACAGTAACAACAAGTCTCAAAATGGAGATACTGCTGGGCCTGCTCGAGCAAATTGATGAAAAAGGGGAGGGCAGTGTTTGTTTGTTTGACAGAGACTCCTTTCATGACTACAATAAGATTTAGCACAGAAAACAGTACCCCTTGTCCTACACCAAAGCAAGCTGTTGGGGGACAGGAAGCAAGAGATCCCAGGGATTTCATGTTCACTGCATGAAAATCTGACTTAGACATACAAAGTAGAAGCAAAGTCCTATAAGAAACTGCTTTTCCTAAAAGGTTACAGTGCATGGGAAGGATTTCTGTACTGAAGAACTAGTTGTCAAACAAAGAATTGGGAAGGCAGGAGATCCTGGGCCCGCAATTTATTTTTTTTGTAGGCAGACCTAAAATGAGGGTTGCTAAATGACTTAGACTCTAAAACCAGTAATTGTAGCCACAATCCGAGGTCTAGTCCACAATAAAAAGAACTGCTCCTTCATCTTTTGTGGAGGTTGATAAAACTGTTAAGATTTTCTACATGAAAGACAATGCTATGAGGCCGAAGCGATAGTACAGTGGGTAGGGTATTTGCCTTGCACATGGCCAACCCGGGTTCGATTCCCAGCATCACATATGGTCCCCTGAGCACCACCAGGAGTCATCCCATTCCCGAGTGCAAAGCCAGGAGTAACCCCTGAGCATCACCAGGGGTTACCAAAAAGCAAAGAAAAAAAAAGAAAGACACTGCTGAGAGCATGAAGAGATAGGGATCCACATTAACCCAAAAACTTTTTACAATGCTGTGTGCAAACCTGACATCCATATTTAAAGAGGGATGTACATCAGAGATGATAAAAGAAGGGGAAAATGGAACCTTGAAGATTGGCTCAAGGCACTAATTAGTCCTATGTGAGAAGGTCATGGAGCAACTTAATAAGCATCTTCTAGTACATGACTGGCTAGAAGCCAAGGTCTGGCAGCTGTTTTCCATTTGCAAAGAAAACATTCAAACTGTAGAAAACTGGAACCAGACATAGGGAAGAACTTCCCAGGTTTAAGTTGATTTGCCTTAAGGAGATTTCAAGTTTCTTTTTTATTAAGGGATGGGGGGTGAAAGGGAGAAGAAGCACACACAGCCCAGTGATGCTCAGGGTCCACTCTTGGTGCTGTGCTCAGGGATCACTCTTAGCAGGTCTGGGGACCTGCATGCAGTGCTGGGGTCTGAATCTGGATGAGGTGTGTTAAATTAGAAAAGATTAAGTGAAATTAATTATTAATAATGTCTAAATTACTACTGCTCTGACCCCAGCAGGTTTTAAGTTTCTAAGTAAAGCAATTTCTCAAAAATTTAAGAATATTTTTAGACTTTTTAAATATATAAACGTTGTCAGAGGATTTCTACCTCCTCCTCCCTCCTCTCCTCATTAATTTTTGTAGGTCACACCCGGTAATGCTGGAGTTCCTCCTGGCTCTTGCACTCAGAAATTCCTCCTGGCATGGCTTAGAGGAACAAATGAGATACTGAAGATAGAACCCAGGTGTGCGCTGGCCAAGCATCTTACGCTCTGTACTCTCTAGCTGCAGAATGATTTCTTCTTCCCAAATACATGCTACTCTAATGCTTCTCAAACACTTACCAATTATTTACAACCAAATAATGACACACAATGTTTAAAAAGGAAATACTTGGCTGGGTAGGCACTGCATTCAAGGGAAGTTAACCGGCATCATTCAGCCCTCATTACTATGTTAAAGCAACTTTAAAGCTTTGGTGGAGAGGATTTCCTACAGTGTGACTGATCCATACCCGTGTTTCGTCCACCCCCCCCCCCCCCCCCCCGCATGATGGCAATGGCAATATTCGGTCTCTTGGAAGTCTGTGACGTGTTCTGTGTTCTGACATCTGCCACAGTAATGCAAACTTAATTTGACACAAAGGCCATCTTACACCTCTAATGCTCTTCCTCCAAATGTCACAGATATCTGACAAAAGATCAATCATTCCAGGTGTGGATTTGGGGAGCAAAAAACCACAGGTTCTGACTGGTGAAACAGCTGCTTCATCAGTCCAGAAGAAGACACCTGTGTACCATGGCACCAGAACACATGGAAATCACTATAGCCAGTATCTCCAGATTTGTACAACTTTCCCAAATCACAAAGAGCCTTTTTCAATATACAGTACTGATTTATAGGCATGTGAATTGAAGGAGACTTAATCTTTGGGCCTCCTGAATCTGGGTGCATGTGCTCTTCAGCTCTGGGAATATCTTAGCAGTGACATCTTTTACAGTTTCTTCTTCACTAGGGTTTTCCTCCTGTCCCTCCGGAACTCCAATAATTCTTCTCCCCCACCCCCCATGCCTTTTGGGTCA